CAGAGCGAGATCCTGGAGCAGCCGAGGTGGGCGGGCAGGCTGGCGCGGGAGAGAGACCCCTTCCCCCGCAGTGCCCAGGTTTAGCAGGGAAGGTTCTCTGCCAAGGATGAGCTCCGAAGGGGAAGGAAAGAAGTCAGGGAGCTGCCGATCCAGGCTGCAGTACTAGAGGGAAGAAGAGTCACCTCGACGATTCGCTGGGGAGGAGGACTTATTACCATGTCCGCCCATAGAGCAAGCTGGCATTGACCAGGCCGCTGCTGTAATCGACAGCAGCTGCGTCCATCTGTGCCAGAGAGCTCACTTGGCCATGCAGGGAAGGGGGGCTTGGGGACATCTCCTCCAGGTCCGGCGCTTGGCCCAGCGAGGTCCCTTGCGTCTGTTGGTGCTGATGCTGAGTGGCACTCCCGCCCGCCCCACCGCTGCCCCCGGCGCCAGAAGCTTGGCTGGCGGCGGCTTGGCCGGCGGCGGAGGCGGCTGCGCTGTGCGGGCAGGGTTTGCCGTCCTTAACCAAGACGGGCACTGCCACGCGCCTCGGGGACGCCGCCTGTGGCGGGGGCGGTGGCTGGCACAGGCCAGGTCCCTCCGGTGGCTGTTGCTGTTGCTGTTGCAGCTGCTGCGCCGCCTTGTCCTTGGCCTGGCGCTTCATCTTGTAGCGGTGGTTCTGGAACCAGATCTTCACCTGGGTGGGCGTGAGGTGGATGAGGCTGGCCAGGTGCTCCCGCTCGGGCGCCGAGAGGTACTTCTGCTGCTTGAAGCGCCTCTCCAGTTCATAGACCTGGGCCTGCGAGAAAAGCACCCTCCTTTTCCTCCGCGGAGTGGCGTGAAGGCTGGGGGCCATGGATTTGGCAGCCTCCGCAATCCCTGACAGAGCTCCCATGCCGGCCATGTTCATGGCCCCGGACGGGCCCATCAGCCTGGAAACTGAGGACACAGGCACAGGTTAAGAGAAGCTGTCATCAGGGCCAAGAAACAGAGAAGGGGCGACCTTGGAGACAGTGACCAGCGGTCATAATCACCAGTGGCGTTTCAAAATTAATCACTTTAATATCAGTGGTTCCTCTTGGCTAACGGTACTCCATTCAAGGGAGAAGAGGAGCTTCTTTTCCTCACCATTCAGCCCTGGGATTCTAGAGTACCTCTGAGCACATCCAACAAGTCTCCTTCCCACTGTGAAACTCCAATTGTTCCCCAAACTCGGGACTTCCTCACCCAGGTCTGGGAAGAGGACACTTGAGGAAGAGCAGTCCCCAAAAGAGGGCTTCATACGGGACGCCCTTCAGAGCCCACCCCCCCCCCCCCGGCAAAGAAACCCCCCCCCCAGCTGATCCAGTCCCTCCCTCTCTCGCCCCTCCC